TGCGTTTCATTGGATGGGGTGATTGTGATTTATATCTATATTTTAGCTTTCTGTTCAAGATTGGCAGATTTTCAGCGTCATTGCATCTTGCGCCCCCCCCCCCCCCCCCCCCACCGGTTCTTACACCTCTCACACTGAATAGGTGTACTTGAGCCATTCTAGTTATTACTAATATTACTCTTCTTTGAGTTGCAGCAATGGTTTTCGTCTTCACGTTTATTATATTAATCACGACACCCAGACTGGTTATTGACAGTCGATATTCTAGTTCTAGGTCTTTTCTCAGGCCCAAAACAGGATTCATTTTTTATATAGGGCCTATAGTTTGTTATGTTGGCTAATATGATGAGGGGAAAATATGAATAATAAGTAAGAACAGACTGAAATACCAAAGTCTCTCAAGATCCCAGTGCCACACTGACATGTTGTTGACTGGATATAATGTACCTATATGTGTGTGTGTGTGTGTGTGTGTGTGTGTATTCACAAACATATACATGTATTATATTAGATATAAATGGAGCACACGCTTTCATTGTTATGTAACGTGTTCCTGGAAAATGGATGAGGCCCTTCCCTTGGAAAATTGAGAAGCTGGGTTGGCAGTCACCCAGTATTATAGTCATCAATTGTTTAAAGACTATACTACAAAATGTACTTTTGCATTCATTTATAGACATTTTGACTTTTTATCATTGATAGATCGGCTTTTTTGGGGATCATTCTTGACACACAGCGGCCTGATTTTTCCCTCGAATTGGGGTCTTGAAAAAATTTTCCAGGATTTGGTGGGGACCCTGTTTATACGCGAGACGTTCGCTGAAAGAGGCCACATGATCGCCATCTTTTTTTTACCTAGAAAAAGCCTTCGACACAACCTGGAAGTACGGCATTCTTCGAGACCTGCACGCACTCGGCATATGCAGTCACCTCCCTGCCTTCATTGGCAACTTCCTGTAGAACCGTTCCTTCCAGGTTCGTGTCGGATCCTCACTTTCAGACCCCCACCAACAGGAGGATGGAGTCCCCCAGGGGAGCATCCTTTCTCCTCTCCTATTCGAAATTAAAATAAATTCCATAGTGAAAACCCTCCAAAACAGCATAGACAGCTTGTTATACGTTGACGACTTTTTGATATGATGCCGTTCGAAAAATCCTCATTTGAGATCTATGGAAAGGCAGCTGCAAACGCAGCTGCACAAACTCGAAACGTGGGCAAACAAAGACGGTTGCAGTACACTTCTGCCGAACAGGCAGACGTGTGCTGCAGCCGGATTTGACACTATACGGGGAAAGGATTCCCGTCCAGGACCAAGCTCGTTTCCTCGGCGTCATTTTCGACAAAAAACTCACATTCATACCACACATCAAAGACCTTCGTGTGAGGTGCCAGAAAGGGTTAAACGCTTTGAAAATTCTATCGAATCCGGAGTGGGGCGGGGACTCAAAACACCTTCTCCACTTGTACATCTCCCTTGTCCGGTCCAGGCTTGACTACGGCTGTCAAGTCTACGGATCGGCAAAACCACACGTCTTAAAAATACTAGATCCAATACAAAACCAAGGACTCCGCCTCGCTCTGGGGGCTTTCCGCACTTCTCCGGTGGAGAGCCTCCAGGCCGAGGCCAACATACCACCACTCTCACTCAGACGCACACAACTCTCACTACAATACGCAGTTAAACAGAGCTCAACACCGGAAAATCCAGCGCACAACAGCATTTTTGAAACAAACCCAGAAACCAGAAACAAATTCCAAAACAACGAAAAACTCATCAAACCCTTCGGCCTCAGAATCCTTGAGGACCTCAAAAACTTACACTTTTCCAAACAAAACATCCAACAAATTTTTTTCCCTGACCTCCCTTTCGAGGCACCTCACCAAGGCAAAAGTAGACTTACAGCTGACCACGCACAACAAAGAAAGCACAAACACCAAAACTTTTAAAGCAGAATACAAAAAACTAATAGATAAATACCCCGGTGCAGAGCTCATCTTCACGGACGGCTCCAAAAAAGACAATGAAGTGGGCGCCGCAGCCCTATCTCCCAACAATACACACCAGAGGAGACTCCATCCTGAAGCCTCCATTTTTACTGCGGAGGCCACTGCCATCGACATGGCACTGGACTCTGTAGAAAATTCTCCTAACAAATCTTTCCTTATCCTTTCTGACTCTCTGTCTTGCATCACCTCACTCACAAACTACACACTCTTACATCCAAAAATAGTTAGGCTACAACAGAAAATTCACACACTATCCGAAACAGGAAAAAACATCATGTTCGCATGGATACCCAGCCATGTGGGCAACCGAGGAAACGAGCAGGTAGACGACCTGGCGAAGAAATCTTCATCCCTTCTGCTGGGATCAACGACAAACACTCTCCCACAGACTGACTTTAGAAATAAAGTCAAAAAGTACACCTCCAGTCTGTGGGAGAGCCACTGGGAAAACCAGAAAAATAATAAACTATATGAAATAAAACCTAAACTAGAACAGCGAAATCCTTCGGACCTCTCCAGAAGAGACGAAGTCATTTTTACTCGATTGCGCATCGTACACACGGCCCTGACCCACAAATACCTCCTACAGGGAGAAGAGAAGCCGTTCTGTGTCGGATGCGACACAGATTTTACCATTAGACACATCTTAACCGAATGTCTAGAGTTTGGAGAGATCCGAAGGAAATATTATAAATGCAAGAAATTGCAATATATTTTTTCCATCGTTGTTCCCAGCAGAATTTTGAATTTTATAAAGGCCATTGGCCTTTATGGCAAGTTGTAAAATGAAAAATGAAAACGTACTATTAAAAATTTTTATTGTTACCTATAAGAGTTGTTTTAAATCACAAATATATTTACACTGAATTTTAATATTTTAACATTTTAGCATTTTAAAGTCAATTAGTTAACCAATCGTGTTGTGAACTTTTGCGAATGTAAACAACTTGTGTTTCGCGTGCTCATATGACCTTAGCAGTTGCGAGCGCCGTAAAACCCTATACTACATACATACATAAACCGCTTCACTACTTTCCTGTGTTGAGCAAACATAGTGCCTGTCCCATCTGCTGCTTGTGCAGAAGACTCGACACATATGTTAAAGGAACAGTGAGGCAGCTGTGTTGTTTGAAGCTGTATGAAAGCGAACTGGAGATTTTTTCCCCCCCCTTGTTCTTTCGCTCTGGCCTTAGAATTTCTTCACAATGAAACGATTCTTGCTGCTGTTTTGCAGGTCTTTCTGAATTGTTTATAAGAGAATCACTCTTAGTGTTTGCTACTTTTCTTACATTGGAGGGTCTCATGGTAGTTTTGTTGAAGTGTCATTATCACTGGAAACACCTGCTTTTGAGGTTAATATTCAAACAATATGAAAGTCTCTGTTATGGACAACAAACTTTCTTTCTAGTTTTGAAGTGTAAAAATTAACTTGACATCGTCTGTTTCATTATAATGGAAGTGTAAGCTTAAACTACCAGACGAGCTCAGTATGTGTAGTTTTCTGTTGTGTAAAGGTATTGAAGAGCATGCTTGGTCTACCTGGGCAATATTCAGCCTGGAATGTTTTGACCCAACTGTAAACAGGGCTGCCCATCATTAGGAATTAAGTGGACTCAACACGATACATTTGTAACACCCCTGGATTCTGATTTTATTTGCCCTTCTGCTACCCCAACCCATCCCCACCCTCTCAGATTGTAGGGAAGAAAAACAGTTAGAGCCTGAGTTTACGCCATTTCTTCATGCGCAGCTGTCTGACGTTATCCCCCTCTTTGCCTTAAAAATGTGTAATTTTTTGTTTTGTGCTGCACCATGAACGTCATGGAAGTGGGCAAATTTGCCGCTCCTGGTTACCTGTATGACGATACATATACTGCACACTTGTTTCCGGACTGATTCTTCTGTACAAAGTTTTAGCCACCATCACTGCGTGGATTTGTATTCGGGAATAAAAGATGTGCATATCGATATCAAATTTGCTAGTAGTAGTATTAATTACTTTACAACAAGGCGTGCAAGCAATTGATAAACACAGATCTAGGCAAAAAAATTCTCTTTTTGACTTCCAAGTTATTCAAAATTGTTAGTAGGATTGGAGAAACTGGGAATGAGAGAAGTGAGAAAAGTGACATGGTCAAAGACCTGGGGTCCAAAATATGTCATGAGTGGGCTAGATTTAGACTGTGTGTCCATTAACACTAAGACTGTCCTGGGTAACGGACTCTGCTGAAAATCAGTGCTGACAGTAGGAGCACATGCCCCTGACAATGAAAGAGTCAACATTCTCTGTGCACAGAGCTTGTGTAGTCATTTTGTCGATAGAAAAAGGAAATGACGCTTGTATGACCTTATGCAGTTGCGAGCGCCGTAAGACCCTCTACTATAAAAAATAAATAAATAAAAAATAAATGGCAGGAATAGGATGAACATTATTTTGACAAGGTGTCAAAAAGTTTCTGCACCTTTTTGTTGTGGGTTTCGGCCTAGGCAAGTGAGATAATAATATTAAAAAGCAGATCAAGTTTGAAATTACAAACAATCAACTGCGTTGCATAGCATGGTGAGTAGTTATGCACAATCAGGGTCAAGAGCTTTTGACACATTCTGTTGTTCCATTTGTATCTTTGATATTTGAAAGGTTCCTGCTCATGGCCTCGTAACTACACCCCCCCCCCTTTTTTTTTCTTCTTCGTCTTTTCTTTACTCAACAATGAGGAGCCCGCTGACACCTTGACATCCCAGGGAAAGAGAACGTCCTTATATATATTTTGAATTTTTAAGCGAGGTTACTAATTATTTTTTGTTAATTACTAAAACATATGCTGATGGATGGGCAGCCCTGCTGTGTCTTGCTCAAGGTGTTAAAGGTCAGTTTCTTTTCTTGCTCCTCCACTAGATTTACTTGCCAGAAGCAGATACGCAATTGCAGGCCTGTTTTCTGGTGGTGTGTCTGAAGGTTCACTTAGCTGAGACATTGTCACTGTTCTTGCAGATCCTACTGCGGTGATCATATAGAACAACAGAACTTTGCTGTGAGAAAGAGTGGCAAAAAAAGCTGTATAATTTGTCTAGGTGCCTTATCAACTTTGCAAGCACCTGATACTCTCTCGTCGCCTTGCTGTAAAGCTGCATCGTTTCATCGACGGTGCATACAGGTAAATAAAGGGGTGCTTGTTCAGGTTGATTTTGTGTTATATGGGAAGGGGTATTGTGAAGATGAGTTTTGCATTTAAAGATGGGTCTATTTTCTTCATAAGAAATGGCTTCTTTTTGTCTCAGTTTACTGTCTTAGACTACTTTTACTTTTCTCTTTGTATGTCTAGAGATGGTTCCTACCTCACATTTATTCTTAATAATAAAATATTGATTTCTTTGGGGTTGAGCTTCACAAAGATTGCAATGTAGTTTGATGTTTGCTTCATTTGATTTGAAGCAAATAATGTCTGGTCAACATTTTCTTCTGCAGCAATATGCTTTGTCAGCGGGAATGCATTTTTTCAAATGCCCAATGTGCAATGCTGTTAAAGAGTTTCAAGCAGAGATGATGAAATTTGGCATCTACATTCCTGATCAGTAAGTCTACACTATCTTTCAGCTAGCTTTCTGTATTGCACTTCAGGTGATGGTCTGTTCAGGTTTCAGTTATCTTTAGTTGTTGTTGTTTTTTCAATTGTCTGTTTCAGGGTTGTCATGTTTTGTATAGCTGAATTAGCTAGCTGGGATAGAAACAAGAGTAAAAGAAAAGTGAAAAAAATGTTTTGCTTGATCCAGAATGTTCATTAACTCTTTATCTCCGGCAAGCTGCTCCCAGCGGCTAATTTATTGATATTTTTATCTTTTTTAGATTTAGTGACCAAAAAAGGGCCCCGTCATAGGGGGTTCCCCCCCCCCCTCAGAGATAAAGAGTTAACACCACTCCTAATACTTTCAAGTTTTTTTAAAAACAAGAATATTCCAAATAACATTCCATGCACCCTCTTACCAGTGTATAATATTCTCAGGGTTTAGTTAAGGGCTAGTCCATCTAAAAACTAGTTGAGGGAGGTAAAGGAAATCATTTTTTCCTGTAGAATTTTGGTCTATGTAATTTTTGTGAGAGAGCAATGCCCAATGTTGTATTTCTGTCAATGAATGTCATCCATCATAAGACAAACTTCTCTTTTACTTTTGAAATCTGCTAAGACAGAAGTTCCATCTTGTGAGTTTCTGCTTGTGATAAAGGTCTCTCTCCAGAAGTGAATATTTTTTTTACCTCGTGACATTGTATTCATGAGGTAGGAATTGTCAATTTCTTGATGATGAACCCTGCTGTCGTACAAATTTTCCATTTTGCTTTATTTTATTGGATGGCAGAACATTGACACTCCGGTTGTCTTCATCTTTTGAAAATGGCTTATGTTAATGCAATTCATTATATAAACAAAAGTGGCTTGTTGGTGTGAGATACAGTGAAGATTAAGTGACAATAAAGAAAATGAAACTCGAGTCGTTAGGAACTCAGCTGAAATAGTATGGCTGTTATTAGTATTCAGTGATTTGACGTGTTACTATAGAGAATAACAATATCTCTTGTAATTTTTCAGAGATGCATCGTGGGAAAAGGAGCCAAATGCCTTCCAAGAACTTTTGGAGAGGCATGACACTTGTGATGCTGAATCTTGCCTTTGCCCCAGAGGCAGGCAGCACAGTGAAAGTGTCGGGTTAGAATTTGTTCACATGTCATTAAAAATGTTTTATGTTTTTAAAATGACCTGCCCTGTGTATTTTCCTTGAATTTTGTTAAACTTCTAAAATTAAACAAAATTTCATAATAAAGTAAAATACAGTACTTTTCAAACTCTTTAGCCTTTATTTTGCCAAAGCCACCTATTTTGGCTCTTTGGAAAATGTCTTCTGTAGCTTGAGGTTGAGCGATTACGAACGTACACAATTGAATTGCACCAGTCTTCTCTTCAACTAATTAGTACTTTTCATTACTGGACAAGTCTTTTTATTTCGTGCCTTCAAAAAAAAAAATGTGGGGAAACCCCCACATGGTTTTTTAAACCCTGAAACAGCCCTGTTCCCCCATGAATCCATTTTTTTCCCCCCCAAGATGATGGGGTGTTTTTTAAAGTAAAGATTATGATGATATGATAAGCCATTTTCATGACAAAATCTGGTGGAGCCTGCAAAGACTTGATATTCTTGAAAGACCCTATTGTGAGATCCTACGACAATTAAATGCCACGAAAAAAAAAATTGTTTCTATTTTTTTTAGGAAGATGTGGAATGCTAGTATTTAAATGATTTTGTTTCTTTTTTATTGTCCTCCAGTTCTGAAACATGATGTAAGTGCTTGTTAGAAGAAACATTTGTTCAATGTTCAAACAGTACATTTATGCATGCTTTGAATGTCTTACAGTTTGAACTTATTTTTGTTTCAGTCAATACATGCTTTCCCTATGTCAGAACTGTGGGTCATTTGGTTCCCACAAAGCCTGTGGGGCTTTGGTGAGGAAGTACAAGAACCTTGTGTGTCCGCCTTGCTCAGAGATTTTGGAAGAATGTGAGGACCTGCTGTTGTTGTAGTCTCTTTATACTGTAATGGGTTTTTTTCATGTGGGAAATCCTTACTCTTACACTACACTAGTGTCAGCAACAGTTGCAGCAATCTGTGCTACAATGGCTGTGCTTTGCTCTATGTTCAAAGCAGTTTGTTATTATACTTACAATAGTTTGTGTTGGAAATGCACTCAATTGCATATATATATATATTCCATTTCTGTTACAGATAAAGTGAAAACCAAATAAGTATTTGCATGTATTTGAAATTCACAGAATACCCAAATGGCTTTTACGATGTGTACATGGATTTCTGTTACAATTGTTTTTCTATATGAAGATATTCTTTGGAAGGAAAGATGACTAGCTCTCTTCTCACTAGTTCTTCTGATATCAGTGGTATCTGTTTGTCTTATTCTTTCTTTCCTGAACTACGCTAATGGTAAATTATATTGCTTTTCTCAAAAGATTTTTAAAAATTGAATTATGTTATGATTAATGTGACTAACGCATGGTATATGATAACCCCTGTATGTTGAATGTATTTTTAAAATTTTGTTTCCTTACATCGTTGTAGCTGAGAAAAAACGTCGCTCAGAAGGAGTCAAATCGATTTCCAAAGTGGTTAAGAAGAGCGCTGTACAGAGGGTGCGCAAGCGTGACAGCAGGGCTCTAAACTCACAGGTGCGCTTGAGATCAGGGCAACAACCCCTTCTGTCAGCTCTAAAGTGAGAACTTTTTCTTCATCACCACTACTACTACTACTCATTTCACTGTAGTGTCTTCCTGCATGACTGTCATCCAGTCCTTTGGCTCAGCTTCCTGATTATGCTTGTTCAAAAATTGGCAATGGTTTTTAATAATTGCAATTCTCTGGTTTCCATTTGCATCATCAGGCACTTGACCCTTGTATGCTGTATTCTATGCTATAAAGAACTTCCAATTGTCTTGCACCTGACTGTCAATATGTGTTTTGCAGCCAAGCAAAATGGGTTTTTAGTTGCTGCGACAGTTAAAATAGTGAAATTCTGATGTTTGTGAAATTGTTATCCTGGAGTCCTAGAGAAATGTATGTGTCATTAATTACAAAAATATATATACCTTTTCATGGTAACTTTGCCCATCACTGGTTGGGCGAAGAATGTAGTGTGCACTTTGATGTATCTTAGAACAGACCTAACAGTGAAAGGGTTAGGGGTGCAGTTTTGCAGTTTATATCTCATTTTGACTGGGTACATGATATAATTCATAGACTGCTTTTCAAAATAGAAAAGATGATGTCTTTCTTAGATCAATATGTATGATGGACTGCTAAATAAATATGTTTATTGATGAGCTTATAGACAGAGCGCAGGGAACCTTCTTAGTTGATTCTTTACTTCTTTACTACCAAACCATATTAATTTGGAGATTAGAAAAGAGAGCAGATTGCAAATGATATTTCTTTCAATTTATTGTTTTGATTTTATTGTGTGATGAACCCAGCTGTTGTAGGAAATAAACTGGCTTATGTTGAACTAAAGAGACTTATTACACCTTTGGGAATGCATCAAGTCCAGAGAATATTTTTGGGGCTAAGAGTTAGGTCAGCTGTTCTTAATATTTATCTCATTTTTATCTAAATCATTTTGAATGGAAGTGAATCTTGTTTACTCCATTAGTGTTAGTCGCAAAAAAAAAAATGCTACCTGTATAAATAAAAAGGAAGGAACCAACTTTAAATTTGTGGCATTTAAAAAACCCAGCCATTTACAATCAATCAGAGAGGAATTCTCTAACAGTTTGATTTAACCGCTACACGATTTCAGATTGATGTGGCCAGTGGCTCTTCCTTTTCTGACAATATGGGCTTTAAGGGGAGGAGCGACCCTTGATTTTTCAGATTTTGGGTCAGGCTGTGTAAATTTTCTGTTGGCTGATTTTTCAAGATCAACCAGTTTTTTGTCCAAAAATAGCATGGATACATTTGAGAAAGTGTTTATTCTTCACGTAAATTGCCTTTAAAAACATGACGATGGGTTAATATAGTGAATTTTCACAATAATAGTCAGTTTTCGCAAAATGTAATTTTTTTGCCGTTTTTCCCCTACTCCTTCCTTAGTTTTCATCATTTTGACATGAAACTTTCAGGAAACATAGATGGCAAGGCTGCCATCAATGTAACAGAGAGATATTTGCGAAAACAATAACACTTTTCCATTGGCAAGCGATTACGCAACCTAAATTTAAAAAAAATTGTTTTATACTTTGGGAAAATTCTCATATATTTTTTTCTTTTGCACATATTGAAATAAGCTTGCTGTTACTTTGATAGGGTCTGATTCAGGTATACTCTCACCACATTTGGTCAAATTTGGTTGGTAAATAAGAAAGCCTTAGGGATTTGAAATTCATTGTTTATTTTCAAGATGGCGGCCGTTTCCATAGCAACCGATGTTGCTGTGCCAAAAAAAAAAATGGCGCATCAAGAGATTTTACTATGCCTAACTTATATGTGTACTTAGATTTGATCTTGGGCAACAGACATAGAAAATGGTCCTCAAGGGTAGCTCCTCCCGTTAAGGGTCCTTTTCTGATTTTCATCATTAACAACTTTTGTGTGTGCTTGTGAGACAGAGTTCACTGCTTCGATGGCCATCAGTACAAAATATTGATCCCTACTAACTCCTTTCGATAACAGTATCCAGAATTATGGCTGAAAAGCTGGGCGGGAGTAAATTAATTTATGATCCGTTCACATACATTTTAAATCCCTGGTGAAAATGGGGATATAGTTACATATTACAAATTTCATGACTAAACCTTTTCTGGTTACTGTGGATTAGTTTTATTATTTTTAGATGCTATGCTACTGTACGTACGCTTATATTTGCTTCCTCCCATGTTGAATGATACTTGTCTCTAGTTCATCATCTATCTATTTCTATTTCTGGCCTCTGTATAGTTGTTTGGGTTTTTTTTTTACCCTCTTTTTCGTTTCTTAGTTCTGTTTGAAGGGAATGAAAATGATAAAGTTGAGTGACTCATTTTCGCATGATGTAATTTTTGTTAAAAATTAATTGATTAACACTCTCCCCCCCCCCCCTAAATTTTTTAACTCTTTGCTTCCTTCAGTATCATAAGTTGTGGGCATATCAGTTTGGCAGTGATTGAAGTCACAACTGAAGAAAAAATTATTCTATAAATTGTTTTGTGAGCTTTGCCGACTTTATAACAAAGGGCTGTTTTTCTGGGCAGGCATGTTGGCAAATCACTAGTATCATAAGGCGGGAAGCAAATGGTTAGCTGGTATTGTACCTGTGTGTGAGAAGTAAAGATTTATCATCAGGAGGGTCATTCCACAAGTGCCCTAATCATTTTTGTTGTTGACATTTTGAGGAGATTAAAAAAAAGAGATCACCCAAATCTTAAATATGATTTTAGTACTTGAGTATTTTTCAGTTAACAACTAGAAAGGGAATGATGCAGCTAAATGAAACTTTTGCAAAATGCACCTTGTCTTTATTTGAATGACAGTTTTGTTGGGAAGCCTCCAGTAATTGATTTGGATGGTTGTGGAATGACAATGATGATATGCATGTTATTTGGCATCCACTTTTGAGAATTAGGACAACAGCTATCATGACAATTAAGTTTCATAACAGGCATGGTTGAAACTAATGACACCCAACTTGAAGTGGTGTTCCGATCTTTTCTATAGAGTACATAGGATGAGCAGATGTCACTGTTATCACTATAAGACCCACAACCATTTAGGAATTCCCCCTTCCCCCTTTCTTTTAGTGATGTTTGGAATTAGTTAATGCTGACTGACATATTATTAAAATAAGCCTATTCTTATATTATCTAACATTAAGATGCTTTGTGGGTGATCAGTCAATAACATTTTAAAGTTATGGAAGGAAAAATTTCTTTTAAAACTGTTTGGACATCTTTACTCATGGTTGTAGTTGCAAAATATATCTGCTGAACGGATACATTTTTAGTGACATTAACAAATTATATATATATACTTACAGGGTGTCCAAAAAGTCATGCACCATCCTTAAGCACGCTAATTGTTGTCGCGCACCATCGTGAAACACTCTTATTGTTACAGATGCTCAAATTGAGCACCATTTTTATTAGTACAACTCTCTACTCTCCGCATAAAGCTGTTTTGAACTTTTCTTTGGTATCAGGATGGATGTTGTGACACTCAATTGTAGTTGCATGTCTCAATTCCTCAAGACAGCATGGACAGAGAGAAAAAACAGAATTTTAGGATGATGTGTGACTTTTTGGACACCCAGTATTTATATATACAGTCGAACCTGCCATGAGGGCCACCTGTACAAATGGCCACTTTTCATTTCCCCCCCTTGCGTTTTTTCTATATAATTTAACTGTGTAAAACGGTCCGCTCACCTGTCCGATGTGGCTGCGGCCACCTTATTTTATCAACCCACTGTCAAATTTACCTGCCTCAGGCGGCCAGGCGTGGTCACTCATTGCCCGATGCTTTGTCATAAATTTTGAATCGGCCCTGCAAGCTGTGGACGGGCATCAAAATTCATTCACCTGTCATAATTATTAGTCCCTCCAATGAATGTTTACCCAAGTTGACCAATGGGTAGGCCTAACAATACATTTTCAACTGCTGGTGAGGGAAGCGTGATCCGTCACAAATGGTATGTTAGTGTGAGGTGGCTGGTCACTGTTTTGTTTACCTAATCTGAAACAAAGTAACAATGGACGTTGGTGTGAACTTGCGACAGAAGCGTCGCTCGTTCTCCAAGTGGTGGTGACCCGTGTGTTTGTTTTACCATGGCACTCGGTCTACATCGTCTCATACATTATATTTAGTTTATTTTAAGCTCGCTCAAAATCGGCAACGAAAAGAAAGCTAACCTAAAAACAAAGCAACAACACAAAAAAAAGCCGTTCTTACACTGCCCTCTCACTTTAAAAAAAAAAGAAAACAAAGACCCTTTTGAATCAGCCTTACGGCAGTCTAAAGCCTGAGATCAGTCGCGGCTTGGACCTCAGAAGAAAATGATTAACTTTCTTAATTTTGATCAGTCCTGCCTAAGACGGCCACCTGTGTTATACGGCCAGTTTTAGTTTTCTCCTTGACAACTGGTGGCCGTTTTACACAGGTTTGACTGTATATCTGATCTATCTATTTATCCATCCATCCATCCATCCATCCATCCATCCATCCATCCATCCATCCATCCATCCATCCATCTCTATCTATCTATCTATCTATCTATCTATCTATCTATCTATCTATCTATCTATCTATCTATCTATCTATCTATCTATCTATCTATTACTCCATTTTCATGTTAGTAGAGGCTGACATTTTGCTATACCTTGTTTTCCTCAGCATTTCAATTGGTGTGAAAAAGCATCCTCCTTCAACAGAAGAACTTGCTGTTAAATGTGCAGACTTATATTTACCTCAGTTCTTATTGATAGATATGTTGCAGTTTGGTGGAATCAGGCTTTCATCAATTTTTTGGCATTTAGAATTATGGCTATCAAATTAAAACATGTGAACTTGGTGAAAAAAAACTACGTTTATCTGATTTATTTCTTTGCATTGCTGTACTAGATAGTAGGGGTAGTCGACTGCTGGTTCCTCAACCTGCAATGCAACTGATTTTTATGTATGTGACGGTTTTTCCTACTTGCCTTCAGACAACCGCTTTTTAATTTCAGAAGTACTCTGTATGGTTTTTATACTGACTGGAATATTTTCAGTTTTGGTAGGAATTAATTTTGAATTTTGCGCAGTTGGCAGCCGAAATTATTCTTATAGATTTAAGGACTATCAAATGATTTTTTACGTTCGCAACTTGCACACAGGACCTCTGAGATTTTTTCCCTTTATCCGAGAAGGCTAGGTGTTTGATCTTACCTACCCTTAGATCATGGGTGGCTGAAATACAGCATTTACCATTAACTAAATAATAAAATTGCTAAAATTTACATAATTGTGCATCAAATCAGGTTCTCCGAGAGCAAATTTGCTTATGTTAAGATGCTGATTCCGAATATGAAATCAGTTTTTACCTGCGATAATTATATTAAAAAATTTGAGCCCTAAGTTTAATCCTGCGCGGCGGCAAATTATAAAGTGATTCTACGTCGCAGCACGTTTCCCCCAAATCTGACCGTGATCGCGCGGAAAATATCAAGCTGCGCTTGATTTCTCGACGGAGTCTCCAAGCCATTGTCTAATCGTCCAAACTTTGTACAACTTTGTGGTTACACGTTACGATTTGTCTCTTGATCAATAGATCGTCCAGTTTTTGTACAATTTATAGTTCTGTGTAACCAGGGCTTAAGAAGGAACCAGGAGAGGCAGTACATGTTAAAAGAGTCTAGAGGAAAGGAGAGAGGAGGCCAGGGGGAGGATTGGAAGAGGAGATGAAAACAGATGATAGAACATGTATAGTGAACAAGAAATAAGGTGAGAGGGGAAAATTCTAGAGAAGAAAATTTTCCGTTGCTGTCAGGTTTTAAACTTGTTGAATGAGAGGTGAACACTATACCTCTAGACCATGAGAGGCCTTTTGGGATCACCTAATTTTATAGGTGAAATTAGGGAGAAAATAGTTACCAAAGTCGTGGTGACTATTTAATACTTGTACTCGTTCAACAAAATACCATACTTTTGGTTTTAACTTTAGACAATATTTTTCAGTAAAATTCTCCCTAAAATGTGTTTATTAGATCAAGCAGGTTTCAGGATTTTAAAAAAAATTGATAAAAATTGCTCGACAGTCATAGATATACTGATTTCCCCTTTCCGTTGATGACTTGATGAGGGCCTGATTCAACCATGATGACCCACACATGTAAAAGTGGCGTGGTTAGAATGGTCATGTATCACTTGGAATTGGCAAAAGATACTGTATTACTAGTGTTGATGATTGATCTCTGTTGATGTTACTGTTGAGGAAGTCTGGCATTTTTAAAGTAAAAAAAAAATCATCTCATATGATTTTCCCTATATGTATCTAAAATGAACTTGTCAACCCTTTAGTAACAACCTAGTTATCTTCAGTGAAATTCTGTAGGAATTTCTTTGTAAGCTTGGTATAGTTAACTCTTTTGATTTATGACTCAGGAATGTGAATCTGTCATATTTAGCTGAGGAAAGTGCTGTCTAGAGTAAAGATTTTCTTTTTATATTCATGTCAATGTTGTTTACTTTTTTCAGTTTGACAGAGGTTACAGAGCGCCTGAGGTCTTTGAGACGTCGTCAGTCAAGGATATACTACTATTAGCTCGTGTGAACCTAAATTGGGAGAGCATGATAAATCGGTGTGTGTTGCAGTGTACAAAGATTGACCAAGAACTTCCTTTAACCAATGGAAAAATCAATGTCAGCCAGCTACAACTGGACACTCTTGGGCAGTGTGTTCAGTGTGTCGGAGGCAGTGATGATTTTCAGAGAGGGGAAGATGACCCTATGTGTCAAAGTGCCAAGAAATCAGCTGGTGTACACACTGTTAAGAGATTTACCAAACTTCAATCTGTGCCAAGGGACTGTTCAAATATATTGGAAATTCGGTATGTTTGTAATTTAAGGGGGACATTTTTTGGTGATGGTTTGGACAAGGAATCAGATAAGGAAAACATCATGCTCTTTGGGCCGGAGCTGGAGCCAGTTTCTTGATATGTCCTTGCACATCTGTGGGATTGATTGCTTCAAGGAAAAATGTGTATTTAAATGACTCGTTCTTTTTGTATGATTCCACATTCAAACATGTCGCCACAAATAGAGGTTGACTTAATTGTTTTATAAAGATCCATTGATTGTGCATATTGTACTGTGGTTTGGAATAACAAAAAGGATAAAGACTGAGAATTGTACCTAGTAATTCACATTCTAAGAACTGGAAAGCTGATGCTTTTGCTGAGAACAGATCTTTCTGGCTTTTGAAATTTGATATTGGAAACAATTTATCTTGTGCATTTTCTGTTTGTTTGATAACTTATATGCAAACCAGGTTGGGAGTCGAGGTTTATTCACACTCTGCTTGTGATTTGTACAAGTGTGCATGTTTTATAACTGGGAGCCTTCAATCATTTAATTTAAAAGTCGATTTTAAAACCATTGTCTATAGAGTTGTTTCAGTTATTTCCTGTGTACACATGAATAAGAACGATGCAGATCATTTTGTATGTTTAATGACAATAGGGCAAATTGTTTATTATAATATGTTTATTTTGAAAAGGTTTATTTGTTACAAATTCTTTTGGATAAAATTTACGCTACTATGATAGTACAGTGTTCATTGAAGTGTGTTGTCACTGTCTGTCAGATTATATAAGACGATGTTCACGGCGTCACTTTTCGCCCGATTCTGTTACTTTTAGTTCGCGTGACTCAGCAGCCCACGGAGCTCCCCGGCTCGGGGTCACGAGGTTAATGAGTCCTGAAACGAATTTGCCGGTGTCGGTTAGGAAGTTCGCATTTTTTTACTATGTTTAAAACGATATAACTTCTTCCCCATCCCACATAGCAAACCATTACGCGGATGTACTAAAAGCTCAATGTCTTGAGATTTATTCTGCGTTAGAATGGTTAATTTCTGTGCCTTAGTTTTTGTTCTAGACAAGTATCTGTAGAGTACCCAATTTGTCCTATTTTAGTTACAAACTTATGAATAAATGATTGTCAATTTAAAAAAGGCACGACAGATCTCTCCAAAATCTGTGTTAAACTGACTACGAATATCATGTCTTTTATTATGAGAAATCTTAAATCTGCGCGAGTAGAAATAGTCAAGTTATTAGAGAAGACATCTGTATTTTTTAACTAAAGACGATCAGCGTTAGCTCTTATTTTACTATTAAACGAGAGAAAGTTACTCTGCGTTTGTTCATGAATCATGCTGTGTCTGTGGCAGCCTGTATACAACTAAAAACATATAATATAGAATCTAAGCGATTAAAAACCCACAAAACCGTGTAAATACATGGGTAGAGAAAACTTCTTGTATGGAATAAAAATAATAACAGCTAACACATTCATTCTTAGTTTTTGTGTTGGAAATATGCGCGGACACAGTTATGAATGTAAAGAAACCAGTCACATTGTCAGTTATTGCAAATGGTCATAGAAACGAAAAAATAAAGCTGGAAAAGTCTGGTGCTGATTCAGTGTCCCTGGGAAGCTAGAAATTATTCTTATAACCCAATTACGAGAAGTCCTCCCTATTATTCAGTCAACTTACAAAACCTAGACTTGGCGTTTTAAGAAAAGTAAGGAATTTCTGGAGTGTAACAGATGCTGTTCGTGTATTAGATCTACATTGAAGATGTATTCTAGTACTAAAATCGATTTGTACTTTTCATAGAGAAACTTCATGGTGACTTTTATTAACTTTCGAGAAAATATGTGAATATTCACGATTATATTAGACACATAAAGTTGTATTTGGAGGAATTACTTCAAAACGAATTGTGTGCCCGATGGATAAAGTTGCAAAATTACAGCTTTCTATTATATGCGCAGATACCATCTTTTTTGAGTATCTGCACCAATGCTTTGTCGTTCATGTTCCAAAAGTTCGACAGATTTTGACGAGGCCTTTTTTTATATTGATTTTCTTTCATTCACGGTAGTCCAAAAAAAATTTACAATTTAGCATTGCTGACTCCAGCGCGTCTAACGAAATAACCAGACAAGTTACAACGTCCGTTCTTTTTTGAGTCTCAAGAGCAGAAATGCATGCTGTGGGTGCACTAAATGAGAATTACCATAAATACATGGATACACCTTAAATTGTACGTTGAAAAGTACCAAATATTAAGTCGGCCCCGACAGGGAGCTGACCCCCGTGACCCCGACGTGATAAGGCCCCGCGACAACTAAAATTCCACTGCCAGTGCGCCCTGTGTTATATGGTGAAGCAAAAAGTATTTAAGCAGGACTGAGATACAGACTTTACAACTGCTATTTGTAATAGATGCTGTTTGTAAGTCATTCATATTCATATCTGTTTTATTATTGATACACTGGCCATTAATTTACCATTTTTGTTGAGGCACCTTCATTTTTGGGGAAATTTTTTTTTCACTGCTGAGAAGACAAAAATTTTGAATTGTGTTTCTCATTTCGTGTGCAGTTTGTAACGTAAAAATTAATGTTTACCTGAATGGTGCTTTTCTCGTGGAGAGTGTTGATAGAGTCTGTGGTACATAAAAGAGCGCACGTAAGTGAATGCAAAAGAGATCTTTTTGTTGTAGTTGGGCAACTTTAAAGCAAAATTACTTGCATGTTTGAGTTCATAATTCTTCTTCATGTGGTACACAGATGACATAACTGGATGTAACTCAAAATTGTCTATTTTGTTGCTTTATGGTCTATTTACAAAGGCTTCATCTACAGCGAGGCTCTTATTTATTGTTTCCTATCAGTAAGAAACTTGGTGTTTGGGGGCTGCATGAGTAAGATTATGAGTACAGTACCTGACTTTCTTGTCTGTGTATTTTTCTGGGGGGGGGGAGCAATTTTCTTCATAGTGCAGTGGCATCATTCATTTTCTGTTATTTGGTATAATTTTTAGGTAATAGTTACTTTGGGAGCATTGTTGGTAGTAAATAATCTCTTTTTGCGGGGACGGGGAGGCAAAGTAAAAAGTTTTGATTTCAATCATTTACAGATGCCTTTTCTTTCCCTCTGTGCTTGATTAACACATGACACCCTAACTCGCCCAGGAATTCCCTAACACGCTCCACCCTAACTCGCACGGAACTGCCCGTGCCGACCTAGCGTCTTTAGAAACAAAGTCTCGTCAACTCTGGGGCCGAGATTTTGATTTGCATAGTTATTGCAAAATGTTTCTTCTTCCGTTTGATCCTGAAACGAAATTTTGCGGGCCAGTAGTTTTAGTTTTAGAGCCGATCGAAGTGCGATTGCGTTTCCGACATTTTGAAGGTGTCTCAACTTGTTGAAAAGCAACACAATTGAGTTTGAAAAAAGAAATAATGGTGGATTTGAGCAAAAACAAGCTATGATAAATCAGATGAATAAGATTTTGATGAAAACGTAGCAAGAGTTTGGGGCGATTCAGATTGATCAGATGTAGAATTTAGATCTAGGGCCCGACCGTGAGGCTTAGAATGAGAGTGATGGGTCGGACATCCCGATTGAACTAAAGTTAGAACATTTCCAACAGTTTGCGCATCCATAAAGTTATATTTTTCTCAAACTGCATTCATTTTTCTTTTTAACTTTTATTTTTTCAGGATTTTTAGAATTTGTTTAGTATTTTTAAAATGTGTTTGAACGTTTGTATTCACGGGAGGTGGGTTCTTTGCCCTTGCTTAGGATCTAGGAATGGACTTCCCGTCCTGGCCCTTAGGGTGTAATGTGTTAAATACCTGTCAGCGGTTGTCTGGAGTGTTTGAGGACCTCAACTTCTTTTCCCTATGTGTTTGCCCCTTTACTTTATGGGTAAGGGGAGAAGATTCTATCCAACAGATCTCGCACCTCCTCCTGTCTGGTGTAGGGGTCTGGTCGAAACAGGGCAGGCCATCTGGTTCAGCATGTTGATTTTTGGAGATGTTGACAACTTGGTTGTTGGTCTCACAGGCAACAGAGACTCACCAACATGGCTCTCAATGCTTTGTTTGTCCTGGGGGGTTCGTAGGGGTTCTCTTGTAGTCTGCTCCATTTATTTCTTCTCAGTCTTACTTTTTTTTATTTTTCTACTTTTATCCTGCGGAAAAGAATCAGATTTTGCCCTGATAATTCACCCTTCATTGGTCTTTGAACACAGTATTAAGTAAAATATGTTTTGGTATTAGCAATGCTGAAAAATGATAGCGTAGACAGTTTGCTGTTGAATCGTTGATATTTTGTCTGATATTGATATAAAATCATTTTGTAAATCTATAGAGAGTGGTTCTTGTTCTAGTTGATTTCTTTTTGCTACCGATTTTTACTTTTGAAGCGTTTTTTGCTGGTAGACAAGCATTTCAGCTTAGTGGGCATGAGGGTATTCTAAATTGCCAATTTTTTTTAATGGAAGGGGTTGTGTTCTATTGTTTAAGGACCTGCATGATAATTTACTATTATTAAAATGAGACTAACGTCTTATGCGATTTAGTTCTATGAAAAAAAATTGGAAAAGCATTTTTACCAGCTTTGTTCTTTTGGGTACTGAAATCAATAAATGATGTCACTCAAGATTTTGTGCTGAAATAGATGGGCATTAACAGTTCCAAAAATATACTTATTACAAATTTATCAACAAGCTGTTCGCATGTACTGAGCCCAGAATGTTGAATTTAAAAAACAAAAACAAAATGTAAGTGCAGTCGTTAAAAGAATGAAAGAGTTTTGTTTTGTTTTTTCTCTCTCCTGAAACATTTTGTTCTCTGGGCTTAGTACATTTGAACAGCTTGCCGGTGTAATGCTTTGATGTGGACTGCTTTTTTGTTTTGTTGAAAGTTACTAGCAGTTCAGTAAGTGAAGCTGTGGTTTCATTTTGATAATTTGCAATTACTCCTTCATCTTGCTGAATCTCATGAACAGAAAGAATATATTACCCTTGTTTGAATTTTATGAAAATGTTCTATTCTTTTGTGCACATAGGTCATCTGACTAATTACAATATTTCTGCCAATGAGGACCGTTCTTACTGCTATTTAAGATTGAATTGCCTTTGACGTTTGAGTCAGGATGTTTTCTTTGCTGTTGGGATGTTTCCATCTGCTTTTGTACCGACATGATAAAATGTTAATTCAAGAGAGAATATAAACAAAACTGGAATGTCTTTTCCCCTACTCAGGAATAAACAACACAAGTTTTGTAATTACATCCCCAAAAGCTTTCCGTATAAACCAGTAGGAATAAAGGGTGGTAAATCAGTTTTTCAGAACACAAGCTAGTACATTTGTCAATGCAACAGTGAAGAGGTTTAAAGTTAAAGCATTTTGTGAAGCCATTGTGAAAGTATTCAGAGAACATTGCTCCAAGATTGTATGATTTGTAGCCCTTGGAAACAAGATTAGGTTACCGGGAATAAAGCAGCAAATTACCACAAAACAGTAAAGGTCATGGCTGATTTGAATTTTCTTTTTTATTATATTAATCGCTTCCTGGATTGTGTCAATGGGGACATAAAAACACCTGAATTGTTTTGTTTTTTTAGATTTTTATCTCCTGAAAATACTTTCTACACTATTCTCTTGGTTTTTTTTCAGTGATAGGAGTAATCAGGAAATGTTAACACTGTCATCTGGTGACTTTGGCTTTCCTCTCTGATAAAATGAAACAGTTGCGCCAATGGCAAATGATTTCATACCTGCAAGTGCAGGCTAATCAGCAGAGAAAGGTCACACTAGCTTACTATAGAGTTACATTTGTAATGATGAGCAGTATTTTGTCAGCTGTCAGATAGATATGTTCACCTTTGCCTCTCCTGTTAATGGTTCAAATGGCTGTCGTCGCTCATTTACTTCATAAGCCTCCTAATTCAAAACAAGAAAACAAACTAGCACATATATGAT